TAAACTTTTTGTTTACTATGTTTTAAACCAAAAAATCACGCGCATGCAGGAACCTGATGTTCAGTGGTTGTCTTTTTTTGATGTGGTTCATAAGTGTTTCTCGTTTCTTGTTTTTTATATAGATTAGACCGTTGGTTTTCCTGTTTGAATGGTTTTACACTAGTCATTTTTGGGCCCTTTATAGCTTTCTGTTCGGTGTGAGCCAAGGCTCCATGTTGAAGTACTTTGACCTATAATGGTTTACTTTTACAAATTGTGACTTGGATGGAGAGTTGTCTCATTGGCACTCATACCACATCTTCTTATATCTATATATTAATTTCACTCGGAATTTAATCTAGAATAACAATTACACATTACAGAAACGCATGTAAACGCAAACTGGATTCAATTCCGATATGATTAATCAACATATACATCGAATTATATAATATTCGACTTGAATCTAGCATTCGTATGAATATGGTATTAGGTTTCGACTTCCACTGATAAAGCAGACCCTCGGCAGGACAGTTTTAAATATTCTGTCTAGACCCTTTGGGTTTAATGCTTTCAAACATTTTTAAGTTTTGAGTTTCCAAATGTTTGGTCTCAAGCGTATCTGTTGATGTTATGCAATAGCATAATTTATGTAATTGTCTTTCGCATGGAAACCAACATCAAATGTCTTACAGTGCATAATTTAGATTAATTTAGTTAGCTATCGGTAACGGTCTTGTTCCCTGGGCCTTTTATAGCTTATTATACAGCATTGAACTTGCTCATTGATGAAAGACATACGACGAGTTTCACATCGTTGTTGTATAGATATTTTTCATATTAACAATTATGCAAAATCTGCTTATTTTCAAAAAGTGAATTCTTTGTCCTCAAAATCTAAATCACTGGTAAATAAAATTTTGTTATTTCTAACGGTTAAAAAAAAGTAAAGTAACAAAAATACCGAACTCCAAGGAAAATTCAAAACGGAAAAGTCCTTTATCAAATAGCAAAATTAAAAGCTCAAACACATCAAACGAATGGAAAACGACTGTCATATTCTTGGTACAGGCATTTCCTTATGGTGGATTAAACAAAGTTTTATAGCTAGCTAAACCTCCTACTTGTATGACAGTCGCAATGAATCCATTATATTGACATAATTGTGTGAGCAAAACAAACAGCCATAATAGGTAAAAATGTAAAAAATTCGGGTACAGCATTCTCCAATTTGCTTTTTTTTATCATGATGTATCACCGGATTTTAACAGAAACAACACGACGAGTGTCACGAGTTGAGTAGGAAATACTTATATCCTTCCGGATCACCTGAGTGTTACCCCAGGTTTAAATGGGATTAGTTTGTTTTTCTAAGTGGTTTCACGTGGACTGTTTGTCTTTTCCCTTTTTCTTTTGGCTATTGCGTTTTTTCTGTCCTTTTGAATCTTTCATTGACCCCTTGCTGACTTTTACTGTATTTTCACAGTTTATACAGTTAGGAAAATGTTCGGTAATAAAGGTTTTAAATGGCGTGTCATACTGATAAAAGTAATTTTTTGATATTGATCAGTTTTGAAGGACCAAAAATATAGTATAGATCAAACAATAATGGTTCAAAGCTTTTTAAATAGTTACGCTTAACATGTGGAGCAGGATTTGCTTACCCTTCCGGAGCACCTGAGATCACCCCCAGTTTTTGGTGGGGTTCGTGTTGCTTAGTCTTTAGTTTTCTATGTTGTGTCATCTGTACTATTATTTGTCTGTTTGTCTTTTTATTTTTGGCCATGGCATTGTCAGTTTGTTTTCGATCTATGAGTTTGACTGTCCCTCTGGTATCTTTCGTCCCTCTTCTAAAGATAATTACGTTTTTAAAGGCTTTAACTATTATTTTTAATCCTGTCAAACATGAAGGATACAAATCGATATTTTGATAGTTTTCCAAAACTAAGCTCGATAGGATACACTGATGTTCAACGGTCGTCGTCATGTTACAGACGAGATCTTAATTGTACCTTAACAAGGTCCTCACTTGAATATTAATCCACTGATGTAGAAATACATTTCTTATGTATTCGACCCTCTTTAATAAAAGTATCCTCTTTATCCAATAATATTTTTTAGGACGATAGGTGTTAATTTCTATTTGATGTGAACTCATCAGAATAAGCTATGGTAAGTAATTCTAAATTCGATTTCAAGAAATGCCCTTACGTTTGATATCTTCTATTACGCTGAATTTCCTTCAGCATATAATAAATAATGTGTTAACGAGAAAAAATACCCTGAAATTATACTTCCAGTAGATTTTTCAATATAAATTCAAATAATGAAAGAACAAATAGACTTAAAAAATTAATAGAATAAAAATATAATATTATATTGAATTAACGACTTAGAATAACAGTAGCATGATGTCATTTAGCGAAAATAAATTCTTGCAATTTGCTGGAAACAATCAATGATTTGAAAAATATTTAACCAACAATATTCATAAACGAAATGGGTGATATAATTCGTTGTCCGTTCGTAGTTTTCAGTACTCAGCTTGTGCATTAAGATATGCTTTGTTCTGGGAATAAATAACGATGGAATAAACCGTGCAAGCGATTTTCATATCTGGCAGCCACTTCTTCTTTGTTGATACTTCAATCTTTATTATACCCACTGAGTAGGTAATTTTTCGTTACATAATTCCTTAAACTTCTGTTTCATGGATGATTTGATATTTGATCAGAAACTTAATAATGTTGAGTAGTACCGTATAAGCGATGTTCAGACGGCAAGGCAGTCACTTCCTGATCAGTCATAGATCAAACTTATTCGTTCCGTGTATGTTTACTTTTTTTTGTTTAAATGTATTTTTGGTCAGTTAAGCCATTTCAATTGATATGTTATAGTGTGTCTTTTTATGTTGTAATGTTACACAACTGTCTCAGGTTAGGGTGAAGGTTGGCGCCTGTTAAAACGTTTAAACACGCTGTATTTTTATGCGCCTGTCCTAAGTCAGGAGCCTGTTGTTCAGTGGTTGTCGTTTGTTGGTGTGGTTCATAGGTGTTTCTCGTTTCTCGTTTTTTATATAGATTAGACCGTTGGTTTTCCTGTTTGAATTGTTTTCACTAGTCATTTTTGGGGCCCTTTATAGCTTGCTGTTCGGTATGAGCCAAGGCTCCGTGTTGAAGGCCGTACTTTGACCTATAATTGTTAACTTTTTTATACATTGTGACTTGGATGGAGAGTTGTCTCATTGGCACTCATACCACATCTTCTTATTTATAATTCTTCATATAACTGGTGATAATGCAATTGTGCTTTCACCGGATCACTTTAAATTGTTGACAATGTCACAAATAACGACAGTAATGCCCTTTCCCTTTTCACGATATCAGAATTGTAATGTCAGAGCTATTGGACTAGGCAATGTTTCGAATGTTTCCCAATACCTCAAGTACACTTTAACGAATCCTTATGAAATGTTTACAAACTGTTCTGTTCAATGAATAACATGCACGTAATATATCTTTAACTATTTGAGGACAGACTATTATGCTTTTCTGGTTCAGCTGTTTATTACTATTTGTAATTTCAGTTTAATTACTTTAAATACAGTAAAAGATATAAATAGAATGTATGATGTCTTTATTAGAAATTGTCATGAACAGAAGGTTTTAATCCGCAGTCACAATCAACAAATGTCTGTCATGGCTGATATTTGTTTGTAAAAATATGGATTTTTTTATCGTTCTTTTGTTTAATCTTAATCAGGAACATAACTTTATTAATTAAATTCTTAAAGCTAAGTTCTTCCTTAATGGTATAAAACATATGAATAATATATAATTCATAATTTGCCAGATATTTTATGTAAGTATATTATCATAGGGTCTTTAATATCCATTGAATTCTGAGTGGTCGCATAGTATGACCAGATGAGAAAAAGTTACCGGTCATACGTGAGTGGAAAAACTTCACAAAGGCACAACCCAAAACGACATTTACTTCAATAGAGGACAACCTATAATCTTGAACAATTAATAATTGTGTAAAGCATATGGCAAGCTCTAAATTTTCCCAAGAATAGACAAGATGCTGATAAATTTCCACTATACCACATATATCAAACCTATAAGAGAATGTAAAGAAAGACAACCACTGCACATAAATGTATGGCAGGATTTAATTTGTTTATGAGGACAAAATCCCCGACATGCAAGTTATTGTGTTAATTCCCTGCTGTTAAAACGACAATCTGCACTGCATAAAAAAACCAAAAATCTAAAAAATATTTAAATGAGTAAATTTTCAGCATAGAGACCTATTTCCAATCTAATCATTGTTATATTTGTCCATAAATTCTTATTTGAAATTTGGCTAGAATTCTTTAATCTATTTTAAAATCTCCACCAGAACTGGAAAGCGACTGAATCTGGAGTTCCATAGAATTACATTGTCATATTCAGTAACTGTTGAAGAGGAGGGATCTTTACAATTTAAACAAATGTAGAAAAGGGGCAAATGGATGTTAGCATTATTTTTGATCATTTTAATGTGCTTTTGCCATTAAACAAATTCGGTCCACTGGTTCGCTGAATGGCGGACTTAAACAATTTAAAGTTTAATGGAAAGACCGTTAATCTTTGATTTTCTTTGCACATATTTCTGGACAACTGTGTGTCTTGACCTCTTATTTTCTTTTGGCCATTAAGATGTTTGTCCTTCTTTGTCTTATGTTTATTGCCCGTTACCCTTTATTTCTTTTTTACACCAGTTTTGTCATTGTTGTCGCCTTTTCAATCTTTTTGCTATTGAAATTGTGGTGTTGGTTTCAAATATTTGGACGTCTTCTTTGACCGATCAGTGACCTTAATATGTTTATTCTGGATAGCGGGTGTTGCAATGCGACTGTTTTTTTTATATTTGCTCCACATTTTACATAAAAGGTGTACATTTGGTTGGGCTAATAAGTACTCTTCAATTGTCTTAAACCACAAAATTTCTACAATTACGATTAATTTTCGCTTCAGGCACACAAACTTGACATGACAAGTGGTATTTTTACGTGGATGTTTCCTGGTTGGTATTCAACAGATTGGTGGAAAGTGAACGACACTACTTGTGATCAGGCCGATATAGAAAATGCAGCAACTGGTTCTTTAGGATTTGAAGTTTCTTCATTTACAGATGTCGATGCACAAACAGATGTCTCAAAGTTAAGTTAACCAACAATGTGACAGAGACCACGTCTTAAACCCTTTATAATAAAAAATATAGAAAATCTCTCTCTATGACGGTTAAAAGCAAAAACCTTTTTTCCCGTCTTTAGTTGTTTTAAAGTGTGTTAGAACATATACCAATCGACACAATATAAAAGACATTGCCGGATAGTGTTCTTTTGAGTATTATTAGGAAAACAAAATAAAAATCATTATAATCTTCTAGAGAATACACCATGATCAGATCTGAGCTTTCAGGCGAATATTTTATCTATGGAAAAGGCTAGTATTAATTGTATGTTGCTTATCTGTGCTAATAGAATTAATACCAAAGCCTTCACAAACTTCAAATGAAAAGGACGAGTAAACCAAAAATGTAGACATCAGCAAATAAAATATCCATAGGAAAAAGGTTATTACAATATAGTGGGGGTACCTATATGAATCACTACAATGATTTATATGCATTGTATCGACGATATTTAGTTTTACATCTTTTTTTTATTGTGTTCAAATTGTTTTGCTGCCAAATGTGGAAAAGTGGTTGCAGAATATGAAGATTTAATTTGAGAAGCTGTTTTTGTCAAGTGCTTGTCATGGTGCTAGGAAAATCGTTTCTGAAGAATCGACGCTGTCAGGTCCAAACAGTAGGAATTGAAATCGGCTGAGTGAAATACCAAAATATTCTCGACAAGACACCTAATGGTTGTTTTTGTTGAGTTTGCAATAAATAACTGAGCACTAAAAATTCAATTATACAAATTATTACCCAAAATTTGAATTAATCTATAAATTCATTTTCAATTTTAGACTGCAGGAGAGTTTACGGAACATTATACTAATCTGACACAGAATGGAAACTATGCTGCACTAGAGTATGGACCTTATGGGTATGACAGTGTCTGGGTAGTCGCATTTGCCTTGGACAAGGCATCGCAAGCATTACTTAACATATCAAAATCTTTGGAAGATTTCACATATGACAGCTCTGACATAGCTGACATAATCTTCCACAGTGTTGACACGACTAATATTACAGGTGTCACTGTAAGTATATCTATTATATTCGACCAACTTTTAATTGTCAATTCAAGGTTACATTTCCTGTAAGAATATTTAGTTCCAATGACGATCTAACTTAGCTCTGAAATAATAATAATAATAAAAATAATAGTTGTAAAATATTTAGCGTCCAATCAACCATTTTATATGGGATACAATAAAAAGTATAAATCTATTTTTTAGCTACGCTCGAGACTTAAAGTTTATTCTAAATTTATGCACGAATCATAATATACATGTTGAATTACAATCTAAACCTCAGAATAGTAGAAGAAGACCCATAGAAATGTTAAACGTACAAAAGAAAGAACTTAAATCACTAATTCAACTACAGGTTTAGTATAGGAAGTAGACATAACCATATTACAATGCAAAGTTAAAATATCTTGGCAATCAGTACAAGAACTCGCTTTTACTCTGAATATTTATTCCCAGTAAAAGTGAAATTATGGAATAAGATACCTGTTGATTTAAGACAATGGAATTCTCTCATTCATATTTGTAAAAAAAAATGAAAAGATTCCTACATATTATGATATTGGAAACTGCATTGGACAAATTCTCCATGCACGTTTGCGAATAGCTCTATTGCTTTTAACTCCCATTTATTTTTTACGGAATTTAGTGGATTAGTAAAATTGTCGTTGTGGTACTATTGAAACAAGCTCTCATTTTTTTTATTAACCTGTCCTTATGATACTCACATACGCCAAGTGCTTAAAAACTTCTTACTTATTTTTCCGCAGCGCATTGATGTAATTTTTTGCTTTTTGGTTCAAATTGTTTTAACTGATGAAGAAAATAGTGTGCTCTATTTGTATTGGTATAGAAATATATATTGAAAAGTATAATGTTTACACCATCGTATGAAAGCTTCATTTATATGTTTTTCATGCATTTCATTTAGTTTATTTCATCCATTTTTTTTCTCAAACTACAATATAATCAATCTTAGATTGTATTTATTATTTTTACTTTATTCAAACTGACAGAGCATGCTCCATGTTTTCATCATGTTGTGGATCATCATTTCTTTTGGAGACAGATTAAAATTAGCAATGTTGCTTGTTTTCTGGATCCCATTGTTCATAGTTTGTTATCTTATATATGTATAGTATGATTTGATTTATTGAATACACTATTGTTTAAACCAATTCATTATATGCATTAACATATGAATGTCTGACATTAAGATATAAGTAGCACGAGAACTGGAAAATGAATCACGGATTTAGAAAACTTAAAAATAATAACGTAGAGAATCATGGCGGCAATCTTCTTTCATAATAATAACCCTAAGCGAACCTACGTCTTTGAAAATAAAGAAATGTCACTGTTATCACCTATCTAAAATGAATTGCACTACACATGCTGAAATGATAATCATACCACAAATGTGAAAGTGTCTCAGCTCCAAATATCCCAACATGCATATCCAGGGTTTAAGGGGGCCTCGGTGGCCGAGTGGTCTAAGTAGTTACTACTGTAATCACTAGCCAGTCAACACTGAGGTTGTGAGTTCGAACCACGCTCGTGCGGGTGCACTCGACTCCAATCTTAACTGACTAGGATTGTCAGTTTTCCTATCGAAAGTCGGTGGTTTTCTCCGGGCACTCCGGCTTCCTCCACCAATAAAAACTGACCCACGAAATAGCCCAAAAGCGGTGCTTGAAAGTGGCGTCAAAACACCAAAAATCAAAAATCAATCCAGAGTTTAAGATATAATTTGGAACATAGAAGATTACATCATCAATACCGTCTAACTGAAATGAATTGCGATGTTAATTTTCTGTTCGATGAATATTTAAGCATTTAGAAAAAAAAGTTTGGTCGTTAAAGAATTAGGTCCATTAAATTCCACAAGTAATTAACTTTTACTGGATTGACCGCTACGATAAAAATGGTAATCTAATGCATTGCAAGGAATGTCTATAAGAAATTAATGTTTGTATGCAGTATCATTTTACAGACTTAAAATAATGTTTAGATGGTTCATTGTAGTAGCAAGGGTTTTCAAATAAAGATAGACATATAAAAAGCATATTATGTAATTAAAATATACCCCAATGATGGTTTTGAAAATAAAAATTAATGTTCGTTTTTATAAAAATATTTTCAGGGCGACATTAAGTTCGATAATAATGGAATGAGAATTGGAAGTACCAGTATTCATCAGTTACAAGGTACATTGTATAATTTTATATTGGACATGCTCTTTCCTTTTAACCTTTTTTTCTTAACAAACTTACGTTATAAAATGCAATGACTGTTTACTAATAAAAAGGGAGAAGATACCAAAGGATTATACAAATCATACGTTGAAGAAAAACTACTAACAGACCAATAACACTCCAAAAATAAAACTTTACATAATTTTTTATACTTTTGAAAAAGTGGAAGGACTTGGATTGTATGTACTTTAATAGATCTTTGGATTTTTTTAAGTTTCAAAATCGGACTCACACCGCCCCTAGAGTAGGTAATTTCACATTAGCTCTGAAGTTTCGGTTTGATTGCTTGAAAATACATGATAATAATTTAAAAAGAGGTTTAGTGTGGCATTTTGTGTATCCAGCGATATAACGCTACTGGCATTGGGGTATTCAGTAGAGGAAAAGAAGACCCAGACCTTCAACTTTGGTTTCACGATTGTGTTGATGATATTCCTGTGTTATACTTAACAATTGGCAAAATAATCAGGACTTCCGTAACTTTATAGAATTATTCCAATTCTTCAAAGAATAAAAAAATTCAAGGATAAGAATGTACAAAGTCCTGCCGATCACAACCTTTATAATGTTAACCAAACAAATATTGTTTTACTGTGAAGATATTAACTACAAAAATGTGATTTCTTTATGAATGTAAATTTCACTTATTTATTTGTCGCAAGCTACTTGCAAAAACATTGAATTCTCTACTCTTTACACTAGTTCATATTTCTATGGGAACCAACTGTGCTCCTCTTCTTGCCGACTTGTTCCTTTATTCAGATGAGGCGTAATTCATACAGGAGCTTCTAATGAATATTCAGAAGAAGCTATCATTATCATTTAACTTCACGTTCCGATGTTGTCCTTTCAGTAAACTATTCATATATGGTAACTATGTTGAACTCAGCTTTCCTATCGAACTTGAAATACAGGGTCTCCCTGATAGAGTTAAGTCTGCCTCTTATCTATCTTCACTTATATCTATAAATTGACAATGAATTTCAATTGAGAACAAAACTTTACAACAAAAGGAATGAACTCAGCTAACCCATTGTGAACTTTCCATTTCTAAGTAGCAATATTCTTGCATACCCGGATAATTAAGTACATATATCCCAGTTGATACAATATTCAGAGCTTGCGTTTCTTTTCATGATTTACTTGATAAAGTTTTGATGCTTACAATAAATATGATACCATCCAACTATGGGTTTCTAGTAGTAAAGAGTTGAAGTCATCCTTATGAAACTGTTACGGAGGCCATTACGAGATATGTTTCAATTGTCATAGCCACAACCCCGTCCCCTTTTCCTCGATTGTGACATCACCGAATTCGTACCTTCCATGAGTAACATGACGGGTGTCATGAACCCTTCTTCATTACCTGAGATCACCACAGTTTTTGGTAAGTTTCGTTTTGGTCAGTCATTATTTTTGGCACAATCCCCTAATACCCGAAAAAAATAATAATTATGCCTGGAAGGAACTGTATTGAAGTTATAAGAATTAAAATACCGAAAACCTAATCACAATAATTCATGACGGGATCAGTAAATAAAAAAAAGATGCCATAGACTAATACATGCGTGTTTTTCAAAATCATTGCATCAAGAAATTGGCAATACAATAATTTCAATTTAAATCGAATTTAGAGGCTGAAGTAAACAAAACGTTGTTATCAAAGAATTCATTCTGCAGTATCTTGTGTAACATTGTTAAGAAATTTACAGAAAATTTAAATTTTCTAAGTACTAGCCTCTTAGTAATTTAATTAAAATTAATATGTAAATATTTGAAAACAATATTTTAATAAACAAATTGATACTTTTGATAGATAGCTCTACGGTGACTGTTATGAGGTATGACGACAGTACAGGAGAGTTACAGGAAACAAGTAGTGCTTTTACTTGGAAGACAGAAAGTGGAGGTATTTTCATATTTAAAGGGGAACTAGGTAGCAAAAAAAGGATACGGGATGATGAACATGATACAACAATTTCTTCTTTTGATATTAACTGTTGATGCCGGGTATTCAGCCATTAGATGATACGATTACGAATATAAAACCGGCAAATAGCGTCGGATTTGGTAATAGTCGCGACATATGCGTTAGAATATGATGAGCAATATATAATTGAATACTATGTTTTCCTATAAATTATATAAAAGTGTGGAAGCCTCCTGAAAAGACTGTCATTGCTTGCCCGCCGATGATTCATTTATTGAATCATTCAGTCCAGGGTACAATATAACGCTTGACATAGAAATTGCAACTGAATTATTTTTGAATTATACTTCGCCTTTAATAAACTGTATTGAAAAAAAAACCCTTGTAGACTGCGTTTAGAAGGAAGATAACCTATTGAATCGTTTCCACAATATTAATCCTTCAAAGAATTTGCATTTATCATAGGAACAAATAGTGTTTTGAAGTCCGCTTAGTTTCAACATGTAAATGTATTACATAGAAAGTAATAAGGTACCAAGATCACAAGTAAAACATAATCAATTAAAAGGACAGACAATATCGTGGCATAAAGGAGAAAAACGACAAAAAAAAACATAGTTCATAGATAATATGGAATTTGCATTCTTAACATAGTTTCGATGATCAAAGAACTCTCCGATAAATTAAAGAAGGTTAATATCAGCGTTTTAATTACGTTATCTTGTGACCATATCATTAATTGTAAAAAATAAGTATGAAATTATATCATCGTACCAGAAATATGTACATTAATACTGACATATTTCAAACAAACCATGAAACAATAGTCACGATAAGGTGAACGTCAATGAAACTGCGATCCGACAACATTTGTATACGAAAATTAGATATGAAGGTTATGTTAAATAAGTAAGGTCCTCTAACGAATAAAAGAGAAACACTACTAGTTTGTTGAAAAGATCAAACAACCAATGAACACATTGTTGAAAAGATAAAACAACCAATGAACACATTGTTGAAAAGATGAAATAACCAATGAACACATTGTTGAAAAGATAAAATAACCAATGAACACATTGTTGAAAAGATAAAACAACCAATGAACACATTGTTGAAAAGATAAAACAACCAATGAACACATTGTTGAAAAGATAAAACAACCAATGAACACATTGTTGAAAAGATAAAATAACCAATGAGAACATAGTTGAAAAGATAAAATAACCAATGAACACATTGTTGAAAAGATAAAACAACCAATGAACACATTGTTGAAAAGATAAAACAACCAATGAACACATTGTTGAAAAGATAAAACAACCAATGAACACATTGTTGAAAAGATAAAATAACCAATGAGAACATAGTTGAAAAGATAAAACAAACAATGAACACATTGTTGAAAAGATAAAACAGCACAGAGAAACATTGATGAAAAGACGCTACAACCAATGAAAACATTGTTGAAAAGATAAAATAACCAATGAACACATTGTTGAAAAGATAAAACAGCACTATGAAACATTGTTGAAAAGATAAAACAGCACTATGAAACATTGTTGAAAAGATAAAACAGCACTATGAAACATTGTTGAAAAGATAAAACAGCACAATGAAACTTTGCTGAAAAGACGCTACAAACAATGAAAACACTAAAGTAAATACAGTTCTATGTCCGAAATATGAGGCAAAGATTTAATGATGAAATGTAATGGTTTTTAATTGATTACCAATTGACATATAGAGAGTCAGGTGTTCTATAACATTCATGAACTCAAGCGATATTGTTCAGTTTGGATCAACAGTAGAATCATTTTTTGTTTTTAATCAATTGATTTGTACTTGTTTATCTATTTATTTTTGAACAATTTTCTTATTATAAAGAAATTTAAGAATAAATAATCATATCAGACTTAATCAAGTTGCCTTAAATCTATGATACAATATTATATTTTACAGGCCCTCCATCTGATGGACCACTGGTCAATACGAAATGGAAGAAGTTAAATCAACCTTTATTCTATGTACTTTCTACACTAGCCGTTATTGGTGATCTCTTTGTCATCTTTATATTTATAATGAATATACGATTCAAACATCGAAAGCAAGTACTCTTGTCAGAATAGTATAATAAAAGACTCGACAAGTATTGGTTAATATCATTTCAATTTTTTCTATGAAAGATTTAGTTGATTTTAAATTTTGGATTATGATAATCCTGTGGAAAAGGTGGGATGTTCGATTTTCGATGCTCATTTTTCGTGAGCATTTATTAAATGATCAGTTCATTAGCGAAAAAAGTAAGAGTGTTTTTGTGTTATGATAATCCTGGAGTAAAGGTGAACGATTTGATATGGAGAATACTCATCATGCTCATAGTATACCTGATATGAAGAGTTCATGATCGGGGAAACTTTCCAATTCAGATTCCGAGCATACGACACTTTTTTGCTGTTATAAACTGTATTCTGTACACCGGATGTCAACTTTAAGATTTTAGAATCAATATATATATATAAAACTACAAGTTTCACTAATTACTTTTTTTTGCATTAATTTCATTTGATATTCAATCAAATTACCATTATAAAGCCGAAGAAATGATGAATTGGCTTAACTTTATGACAGTAACGACATTCATTACAATAACTGAATTATCAGACAAAATGATATTTGATATTTACATGATGGAGCAGCAAAAGGATTATAAAAACAGAACGAGAAGAGCATATTTTGATACAAACACAAAAAAGCTGTAAATTATTATCCAATCGTCCGCATTTATTTATCACGATCTTTGCAAAGAATAAAATCAACAACAAAAAAAATATCAAAAATATCTTACGATTTTTTTCTTATAAACAGATTGTAATTCTCAAACCTAGTTCCATCATGCTTACTTTCAGAATAATAAAGCTTTCCAGTCCTAACTTGAATTTCATTATCTGCGGAGGAAGCTTTATACTATACACTGGTGTGATATTAAATGGAATGATAACAGATGATCTGACAACAGCTACGGAGGACACAGACGTTCTCGCGTTGTCTTGCATTGTAAATATGAATATAAAGATATAGTGGGTAAACTTAAACGAGACCGTATAAAAACAACAATAAAGCATAAACAAAATGCCATGAACATGATGTCATACCTTTCTACATCAAAAAATTAATTCAAACTTTTTTGAATAATTCATTTACCTGAAAATGATCAGTCTTTTGTTTGGCTTCCCCTCTTTATTTCACTTTTACTAGGAAGAAATTATAAAATACACAAACTGTCAGTACCTTTGAATTTGTTCTAACCATAAACCATAAGCGGGAGGAAAGGTTATATACGAATATGAGAAGTTTACACAAATACAAAAAGTATAACAAAAATGGCAAACCAAAGCAACAATAATACACCTTAAAAAACCAAGTTAAGTACTTTCGGCTCTCCCACATTGTTCACGACAAGTATATATCCAGGAATAAGTCGCAATCTGTGATGTCGTGAACGAGGAAAGAGGTCAGATTATTGATCATATCCGTCATTACATATGACACAGCTTTTCAATAACGGTCATCCAAATCATGAGTTATCCGTAAAACTTTCCAGAATGTGGCATTAGTTGCTATACATTCTAAGTTAAAATGTAATGTGAAACAAGATTTTTTTCTTACAAATTCTTGGCCTATTTATTTTGTCAAATTTAGCCAAACTCTATACTGAAACAAGGTTTCAACAAAATTAAGTATTTAGTGGTAATATTTTGATGGTCTTTGACGAAAGCATTTTCTCTGACATGGGAAGATGTTTGAAGGAAGTCCGCGAAGGAATAGCAAAAATATATGCAGACAGCGGAGAAATTTAAAGAAAGATAATCGTATCATGTTCTGTTAGCTGCGATGTATTCAAGACTTATACAAAGACTGCAAAATATTTTATTAAACATGGTTTATAAATCTTAGCTGCTTAGTAATTTCTGTCTATATCATTGCTTTCTTTTCATTTTCTTTTTATCAATCGGTTTAGATTTTCCAAATGCCGTGGTGTCATTGCTAGGAGTGATTCACCTTTTCTTGTGTTACAATTGAACGCATATTTGTTTGTATTATTCATATTAAAGATACTCATTTTCTTCGTTAATTCTATAACATATACTAATTGTATTCTTTAACTCTATAACATATACTAATTGTATTCTTTAACTCTATAACATATACCAATTGTATTCTTTTATGCTGTAGATGAATACATGGTTGTTTGTTGTTGGATTTACAGCTACGATTGGAACAGTTGTGGCAAAAGATTGGCGAATATATCGAATACTGACCCAAGATAAAACATCAAAACAGGTTAATGTTTTGAAGTCATTTAATAACATCTGAGTTCGATCAAACGAATCTCTTTTCCCGGTGCTTTCATGCTTTATATGAAACATTACAACATAAAAAGACACATAATAAAATATCAATTGAAATGGCTTAACTCGATCTAAAAGACATATTCGCAAAAACAAATAAATATACACCTAACGAATAAGTTTGATCTATGACACATTATAAATGAGAAAAGATGTATCATTGTCAAAAAGACAACTTTAACCTAGGACAAAATGGCATTAATTAAAGTAACGTACACATGTCTTTACTGTTTCGAGTTAAAAAACAAATGTGAATATTTTAAACAAAAACTATCAAACATTTGCCGTCAATATCATATTTTCCAAATAACAAAAAACACAAGACAGTCACAAGATTCCTGACTTGGTACGGGCATATGGATATGTGGTGATGTGAAACTAGTATTTTTAGATTTGTATCCTCCCCTGAGTATCGTGAAATGAAGAATAACAAAACGTGGATAAAAGAACATAATGTTAAAAGACGTCACTCTAACACAACGATATAATAGCAGACAAGTCACAAGAGGAAACAAAATAGTAAACAATATTATACTGTATCAAAGACAATATAATATGTCTATAGACGACTCCATACAGTAACGACATAAACAGTACATGAATGCAAGAAGTTAAGATATGAAGTAGGCCTTGTTGTATTTGTTGTATATTCTTTATTTCATGTTCGTTCGTTCGGATACCTTTGAAGTATTCCTCGAGATGACATTTCTTTTGTGGAACGTGTTAAAAGATAATTTTAGCTACATTTTTTCTACTCAAGAAGCACCTGTATGAAGTCTACCCTAATACGAAGTATATTATTAAAACACTATTGTGTTCAAAATCGAGTTAGCTCCAGTCACGAACTGATTTTGACCTTTTGTGGGAATAAAAAATGAAGAAAATAGACTATACCTCTTTAAGTGTGCAGTCACTTTAATTTTCCACTCCCGCTGAAATACAGAATAACAAACGCTCCGAGTTTTCTATTTCAGACTATTAAAGATTGGCATTTGATATGTGGTGTTAGTGTTCTGGTGTTGATAGATTTTATAACTATGACTATATGGATTGCTGTTGATCCACAAGTTTACGAAAAGACATTTCTTGACACAGAGGTAAATTTAAAACCATATATTAGGACAAAAATGAAAAAATAAATCATCAATATAAGTGTCTTCCGATAAATGTACACAATTCTAAATGAGAACAAAAGCTATTGTTTGCATGTTGAAAAGAAACTTGATACAGTTACCGATAAGTGGTTGGCAATATTAATGAATAAGGTCACAAGGAGATGGCATTTTCACAAAACAAGCGTAAGACGTATGTGCACTCAGGTTCCTATGTAAAATATATGTATAATTTATGTACACGTCTTTCTTAAAAGTCCTTTTTGACATTAAAACACCAATAAGAGGAAACATTCTATATTCCTATGTAGACGAAACGCACGCCTGGGGTACCAAATTATAATCTTGAAATCTTTCATGAGTCAAGATATGTATGATAAATTTTTGGTGTAGACTGGTTATAGGAAATGAAACAAAATTTTCCTCATTGTTATATAAATTGTTACATGTTTACTACACAGATAACGGTTATGAATCTTTGTGGTTAAAATTTATAAAGAATATTTAAGATGATTGTGGTATGTCAAATATTTGGCAGAACCAAACGGGTTTTTCGTCAATGTGGATTTCGAAATGTGTTGAACAGAAACTAAAGGATCAATTTATACAATTTTGGTATTCAAAACTGCCCAAGTCTCCTAAGGGATTGTGCTATAGATTATTCAAAACTCATTTCTGTTTTGATAAATATATCTCAGAATTATCACCTTACTATATGTACATCCTTTGTAAATTTAGATGTGGTAGTCACCGATTGCCAGTCGAGACCGGGAGATGGTTCAATTTGCCAAGAAGCGAAAGCGTGTGTCCTTTCTGTGACTCGATGGAAATCGGTGACGAATACCACTATATTATGTCATGTAGCTACTTTAATAATGCTAGAAAAAATCTGCTTCCCCCTTTTTGTCATGAAAATGTTAACATTTATAAGTTTGAACAACTATTTTCTTCAAATAATGTAATCATATTAGAAAAACTGTGTAAATCTATTAAGAACGACCAAGATAAGGTCGTTCGTTTTAATGTGTATTAATTTATACATGTATATGTAATTCACACATGCACAATAAATTTGTATATTGTTAATATGTATATGTTCTCTGTAACATTTTGTTTATGAGAATAAAAGTATTCATTCATTCATTCATTCGTTACTGATTTACTGACAAAAAAAAAACAAACACTAAGGTTTTTCTACCCCAGGCAAACATAGCCTTAGTTGCATTTTGCACAGTTTTCAGAATTTTTTTGTTCGTATTTGAGATGGCCTTCAAACTATTTTGATTAAAGCGCCACTGATGAGTATTATGTAGACGAAACGCGTCCCTGGTGAATCAAATTATACGGTCTCTTTGATGACTTTTTACCACTTTTGATTAGGGAGTTTACCTTTCACCAATGTTACAATGTTTGGTGTTTAGTTTTCATTAACTTTACAAAGTGAAGCCAATCATTAATGACATATTTTGTATAATTCAATAAAAAAGCACTCCTAAAATCCGATTGCTCGTTTTATATCTGAAATGTTCAATCTTACTAAAACAGCAAAGGGCAAAAAGTATTTTTTCAACTCGGGCTGCATAAATGAAAATTAAAATGACAACAAAATCTTCAAAATTTGATTTGAGACAATTGTTAAAATCGTTAACCTCTTAATGGGCAGCATTTGTGAGCGATATATAATTATTATGTCGTTGAAATTATTTGAAGAAGATAATCATGTTCAGATTTTGAAACCAAATCTTTACAATAAAGATAAGAAATTAAGACATGTATTTTGGTAACTTAATTCATGTTTTTTTTCTATTTCCAATGTAGAGAACGGGACAAGATGTATTTGTTGAGCCGTATATTCTAACATGTTCATCGAAATCCTATGCATGGATGGGTGTTATAATGGCAGTGAAAGGGCTTCTGTTGTTATTCGGAGCTTTCATTGCCGTTGAAACCAGAAATATCAAAATGAACTTATTGAATGAAGCCAAGGAAATTGCTCTGACCATTTATACGGTGTTAGTATTAGCAGGCATTGGTGTGCCAATTAATTTTGTGGTAGAAAAAAACATTGATTTTAAATACGGAGTGACGTCAACGTTCGTAATACTCGGAACAACAGTGATGTTAGCAGCATGTTTATTTCCAAAGGTATACTTGAATAATGTAGTTTTTGTAATTCTGTTTTAATTCTGTGAATTCACTTGTTGATTTTTAGTTTCAAACACATTATATTATCGGTACCTTTTTTAAAACTTTTTATTTTTTTTTTTTGGTGTTCAAACTTCAGAGCATACATACATTGTTACAAGAAATAAGTGAATAAAATATATGACTTAGCTATTATGCGTCTAAGAATTAAGAAGGATTTACAAGTCTTCGATGTGAAAATACAGTATATGATACTATCTTAAGAATACTTTGGAATTCATTTAACATACAATCATATTCAAAATAAAATGAATAAATTCCATAATTTCCCATATTAGCAGTGTTCTAATTGTGTGATCTTTACATAGTTAATGTAATACCTTGCCTATAGAAGACAATAATTTAAAACTAAGTTACCAGAATTCAAAACACCAAAAATTACATTTATTCAAAGTGTTATTACTCCAAAGAAAAAATACCACCAATTAGAAAATTCTCTCCAAATTTGATTCATTTCCATGCATTCAAAAAACTTATGCTCTATAGTTTCTATCTCGTTACAACTGGCACAATAATTAGTTTCTGAAAAATATTGTTATGAACGACTATTCTATGAAAATTTTGTATTGGAAAGCTTGTAGTTTACTTTCTATATTACATTTAAAAGCCAGTGAATACTTTCTATAGTAAATTTAAAGCCATTGAAAAAATATTTTTCATTTTTTATCACTAATTTCTATACTAAAGCTTTCTTCCCACCTTTGTTGTGAAATAAAAGAAACATGTCCCTGGTCGATAAAAAGCGAATAAACATATTTTTCAAACAATTTACTGATCGGCATTTTTTATTCTCATGCTCAAAAAACAAATCCAAATGAGTTGATGTTAGGTGACATGTGTTTCATATATTATCAAGTCGACATGCCTTTGAAGTTTATCTTATATCTTTATTACAAAACACATCTATAAAGAAATGAAGCTTTATCATCTGCAGATATGTAAACCGTTGTTAAATATTTAAAACAAACCGTTTCCCTATAATTGAACATAAATATAAATGTATATACGTATTTGGATTACTACAGGACACAATGATTAGAAAAAACATATTATAATATTGTTTTGAATAATTCTGATTATTAAGACAAAAATAAGACTTGAAAAATGTTTCATTGAATGAGTTTGAACCCCTATTTCGGCAAATTTATAAGAATTCATTCTTTATAGGTTTACACAGTGCTAAAAATTTCTGTTGCTGATGAAACTATCATGGTTGCTAATATGAGAGCACAAACAGTGAATGCCCCTGTTGATAAGTCCACAGTATTGAAAATTCAAATAACACAGGTATGCATAATAATGTAATTTTTTTTATTGTAATTCAATTCGGTTTCTTGTAAAATTATATTTCATAATTGATTTTCACACTTTAGATATTTATGTAGCTGTAATTTTCTGAGTCAATGGTATATCGTAACGAATTCGACTATTTTCTCCAGTTATTGCGGAAGTTATCTCATCTTCCTATTGTTTTTGATTTAAGACATCCAAAACTATTGGAGTTTCGTTATGTCTTTTTGCCACAAACACAAAAAGGTTTCTCTTTCAATCCATAAATTTATCACTTTAAAAGATCATAAAAAATCTACGAAATAGAAAAAAATGCTATCATCGATAGGTAGAAAAAAGTATGATGTCGTAATATACGGAGATAGACACTAACATTCTAACAATAGTAGAATACAAGAGTTTTAACCTGCCCACAAGTTATAATCCAGTATTTCATATTTTGCACTTTCCATATATATGTAGTGTGAAGCCCCATGCTTATTGGCACAGCCTCTTAAAACAGTAAATAACTTCAGTGCTTTAAACTTTAAGTCGTATTATTTGTAAATAAATTACCCTCTTATTATCTTTTCAGCTTGAAAATAAATTGAAGAAAGTTGAAGATGAACTACATTCATATAAAAGCAATTGAGTAGATGGCTAAGTGACACTGATTTTAGCTAAATATACCAATTCATGAATGGTTTTGTATCACGGGAAGGCACATCACAATATTGTTTTTACGTATTTTTTTCATCCAAGGCACGTAAAGTGAGATTGGAAATTGAATTGTCAAAATGGCCCATTGTATCATGGTATCCAATTTCATATTTGATAAATATCACATTTTTTGTTAATTGTAGAAAAAAATAAACCATGCAATATTTGTATTACCATTTGCAAAGAAAAACCTTTAGACTTTAATAAACTTTTATTTAAAAAATATGTGAGATTTATGAAAAGGGGAAAGCCTGTAACATGTTATAAGGTTCGACAAATTGTATAGACCTACTTATTCTTGACTTGGTGTAGACATGTTCTTAGGGAAATAACGTGAGGAGTCGTATGAAGCCAAACCTCCAACGTGTATGACAGCCTTTCATGGCTCTACAATTATGTATCTTGCGGATCAAAACAAGCACAGTAACAAACTTTCACGAATTTCAAGATGTAATCTTAAACCCAATATGTAATTAACGATACAGATTTGATACAGGAACACAACATTACATGCGTAGGGGGAAGGGGAAAAATCCAATTTCACTTTCTCTGTTGGATAACGAAAATCAAATCACTTAAAATATACATAAAATTATAATAATTCACTGGAAGAACGTACACAACGGTCACTTAGTTTGCAAGTTGGAAATGAGTAAATAAAAACCAAAAAAAGAATAGCCGGAAACATTTGTATAAACGATGCATATGAATTTTCCATATTAGTCACGTGAATAATTTCATTTGGGGAAAAATATTTTGAATGCCTTCACTTTCTTCTTTCTAGCTGTCTAGATAATCGGCAATATGAATATATTATTTGTTTTGTTTAAGCCTATATATTTAAGGGAAAGAAGTTAAGGTAATACTGTGTAATTATATATCATCGTTATAGACATCAATACGCAGTGTCTTGCTTTAAAACCTGAACTTAAATACAATAGTTTATAGCAGTTTCGCCAACAATTCTCATTAGCTGGCTGATTGCTTCACAATTGCATTGTCTAAACTCATCCATTAATATTATATACTTGGTATCAATATTCATAATTACACAAAATCACATGAATATTATGTCATCTCGTCAAGAATACTATAAGGACAAATTCGCTAGATGATTTAATAGTATACTGGTGTATTTGTGTGCTGAGTATACATTTAACGCTCCAAACTTTTGTAATAAATAAGTTTTAATATGTTCTACTGGCCTCTGGCCTTTGTTAGTCTTGTATGTTTTTTACTTTTATTTCATTTATATGTTTTGGAGTTTAGTATGACGTCCATTTCACTGAACTAGTACACATTTTTATTTAGGGGCCAGCTGAGGCCCGCCTCTGGGTGCGGGATTTTCTCACTGCGTTGAAGACCCATTGGTGGCCTTCGGCTGTTTTCTGCTCTTTGGTCGGGTTGTTGTCTTTTTGACATATTCCCCATTTCCATTCTCAATCTTACCTTGTAAAGTTCATATCGATTTGAAGCAAAGTTTCAATTTTCTACAATTATCAGAATATATACGATAATCAGTATAGATATATATTTATATAAACAACAATTCCTTAGATAAAAGTTTCTTTCTGAATAAAGCTACGTTACGTAGAAGTTCTAAAAGAAAAGCTCATTTGCAAGAAAAACAAATGACCTTTGTTTGTAATACTGTCGTTCAAGACAGGGTCGTCACTATGGGGTTGGTAATCAGCCGAAGCAGGCATTTAAGGACCACCGGCTTGTTGATGTCCCATTTGATCTTCTTGGTTTGTACATGTGTCTGATGGAACTCCGACTCATATGAAAATAAGAAAAGGTCGGCCAGAAGATGTGTACAGTAGGTTCCAATATGAATGCCGACAATCTGCTGGAACATTCGACCTCCAAATTCAACAAATAGTATTTTCAATGAGAAACTCCAACATATTGATCACTTGTTTTTCAGTGTAGCATATCTTATTTTCGGGATCATTTTTAGCAAAATATGCAAAATTATATCCCAAAACACTAAATTTGTAGCGTACGATAGGCCTAGCATTTGTATGGAGAAAAGCTTTGTGGATTATTTCTTTTAGACTTTTTTTTCAATTTTTCACGTAGTATGGTGGTTTTGATATAATTTATTTCAGAGAATGCTCGAGATTTGAAATTTTCCAGAAATTCTTTTGAGTTCTTACGAATCAACTTATTGTTAATGCCACTACACGAGTAAGCAGTATCACAGTATTTCTTTAATCCCTCTTTCACTGTGGACAAATTTTGTTTGATATAACGGAAAATTTCTTTGTAGATTATGCAGCTGAGTCAGCAATGTCACGTTAATTGTACGGAGCTTTTTGAAATTTAGGTTTCCAATACAAACAATGTAAGTCCTCAGATGTGTTGCTCGTTGAAAATTTCAATGAGGCCATGAAAGACTTGTGGTTAGCCAAGATTGCATCCTTATCAAAAGTTACATTTTTGTACATGGGATTACCCGCGTGTTCATTAATTCTTTGATAAGACAGTCGTGATAATAGGATTTAGAGACAAAACATTATTGTTTGAAACTTTGACAGCACTTGTTCCTTTTTTTTAATAATATCATTTAAAAGCTTTTAACTGAAGTTAAAGAAAATTGAACACCCGGAAAGCAGTGTACATTACACAACGAAAGATAAAACTTGAACAACATTAACCTCACCAAGAACCGAGCATTCATGAGGAGCGGAAGGTTAAGCAGTTCCTGTTCTACTTGTGACAAACATCGTGTTGTTCATAGCAAGAATCTGGTACAACGTTCCATAAACTATGAAAGGAGGACGGGATTGTAGCTACAAATATATTTGCACATGATCTTGACTCATTTGAACACAAATATTCAACAACCTCTACCAAACTCTTGTGCCGTCGGTATATCTTCAACAGTTGAAATGCATGAAAATTTCAACTTTCCTTTACAAACCCTTAGTTCAACAGCTTCCTTATAAGAAGATAAGACACACAAGGTCTGGAATAGCATTCCAACAGGCAGGTATATATACCCTTTATGCATGCATGCTAATCTGTTGCTTCATACAAATGGAAAGTTGACAATAGAAATTCGTAAATTGGAATTCTCTTTTTTGTTTTTTTATCTAGATCTCAGCATACTCTGATTGACAATTTCTAAATGTAACTCAAATTTGTGAAGAAGAACTAACTGTATAAGTGGTATCCTTTATTTCAAGTTCTATGGCATAAATGCGATTGCAGTTTCACCGAACTTTTGAATTATTCAACGAAAGAAAATAATCTATAAAGGAAAACGTCAAGTTAAAGGATATTATTCCATTGTATGTTAAATTTGATAGCTTAATTAATGTTTGATTGGTTGAGACCATTCCACGTGACACTGAACAAAACTTCATATTCCCCTCTGAGTATCATATTCCACTCTGAACATCGGGACTTGCCTGTGCGACGTTACGCGCGGTTTATGTAAGTAACGTTTTGAACGTTTTAAAATTGCGATAGTAAAGTCACTATTGTGTTCAAAATTATTTCAGACGTAAAATCCATACATAAATAATAGATAATTATCTTTTGATCAGTACTGTTTATCAATGTTTTAAATTATGTCGTGTTTAGTTATGAAAACAAGCGGTTAATAAAAATGTATGTGAATTAATGTTTTATGTTCATTTATTTAGAGTAAACAAAGTAATGGCAGTGGAATAATACATTCATTTCCCTTGACTTAGGGAGATATGAAGATTTGTTCACCCTCGAAAAGTCATATTTCCCTCGGGCGTTAACAATCTTAGTATTCGCCGTATATCTTATATTACAGAAAACAAGTTGCATATTGCATCTCTCTTTTTCCCTCCTTCGATTTTTTTTATGGTAAAAAATAAAGTGAAACAATTGCCTCGATCATTGCCTCGATCATTGCCTCAATGAAAGCTACGCCACTGCTGTTCAATAATATTCATAAGGTACGTTCGCAATCCTGGCACTGTGTTCCAATGTGTTTGTAACTTTTCAACTGAATTTTCTAGCGGATTAGTGGTTGTTTTGGAGTGACGTTTCCGGTATTCTTAATTTCCCTCACAACTTTGAAAATAATTTTTTTTTCATTTTCATTCTATTAAAATTGTTTTCATTCTATATAATAATAATAACACAAGACTCTGGACACCTAGCCGCCGTCTCATGTTTTGTGTGCGTTTCATTATAAATCTAGTTATAGATATTAATTTGGTTTTATTTGATATAATTAAGTTGCCTTTGATTGCTCTGTTAGTGTTTGACGTTTGCATAACTGCATTTTGCAAAAATAGAATGACAAACACAGGAAATACATCACCCTAGTTCAATTTATTTAGTTATATTACTCTTCAACACATATAGCTAAAAAGTTGTTTAACTCATTATTTGTTTGCTTAATAAAGTCAAAGGTTGTAACTACACGGTTCTTGTTCAATCATTGCGCCTGGCATTTTAGGTTGAATAAAATTCGGTAATTATAATTTGGAGCAATATTATTCATGGGTAGACTTTTGTTATATCATGATGATTTTTCACTTATGGTAGATCATTACGTTTGTTGAAGACCGTATGTTGACCTCTATAGATCTTTGTTTTAGTGGCGTTGGATTGCTATCTCATTTGGTGCGCTAATCTCGCATCTCTTTTTATACATATAATGATGATAACATAAGTTTTTCATAACAAAGGCTTTTTTAATTTGAAGTTTTGCATTGAAAATTTTAATCAAATTTATTCTGACCAATGCACAAGATTTTGTCATCCTGGGCTGTTTTATTCTGACCAATGCACAAGATTTTGTCATCCTGGGCTGTTTTATTCTGACCAATGCACAAGATTTTGTCATCATGGACTGTCTTTAGCAAATTACTGTGTGAGGTCTATACTACTGAGGAGTCGTTTGTAGGCGAAACGCGCGTCTAGCGTACACATTTCTTTTATCCTGGTATCTATGATGATTGTATCTACGAAGTACAGCAGCAGACATAAGCGTGTAAGATGGCATCTCATATAAGCGTGTTGGGACATATTGCTTTCCTTACAAAATCAGTTACTGCAAGCATTCCTTGTTACGATATTGCTTATTATTTGCTTGTATTGTGGGTTTTGTTATTTATTAGGTTTTAGAGTTAAGTGCTTTTCTTGCACTGATTTTTAGTTTACGTTCTTTTATGTACCTTTTGTTATTACACTGATCAAGATTAAAAGTAAATAAACTCAATTTCTCAATTTTATCATCATAGATACCAGGATTGAAATCTTATATTTGCGCCAGACGCTCGTTTCGTCTACAAAAGACTCATCAGTGACGCTCGAATAAAAAATATTAAAAAGGCCAAATAAAGGATTGCGATGTAGCATAACCCCCTCACATGCTCTTCTGTCCTGTTCTGATTCAGTTACCTCTTCGGTGGTTGTTTTTGCTCTATCTTTATGTTCTTTGTCATTTTGGACTGTTTACAATCTCTGTTCAACTTTTCATAACCTTTTAGAAGCAAGTGATTTTGACTTTGAAGTAATTAGAAAATACTTCTCCGTAGCAATGTTTTCCCTTTAATTTTTTTTCTATATCAAAATTTTGTACACATTTATGCTCAATATTGTATCTACCTGTACTGTTTATAAAGTTGTAGAATGTTATTCTCATCTAACTTATAAAGAACTTGCCAGGAAGCGAGTTTAAGTTTGCCACATGTCTGTTGTTGATAACTACGAGGTGTTGACCTCTAGACATTTTATATATCCTTGGATAATTGCCCCATTGTTGTAGACCACATATCAATTGTTCGATCATTGTGCCTGGCATTTCGGGGTTGAATAAAATTCGATAAATCCTTTTGAAGTAGGATTATTTAGTGTTGTAGTCTTTTGTTATATCTCCGTGATTTTTCACTAACGGCAGATCATTTAAGATACACAACTTTTCTAGACTCGGGTTCTGTTCTTGCATTGACACTTGTCTCTTGTTGAAGACCGTATGTTGACCTATAAATGTCTTTGCATTTGTATCGTTTGCTTGCTGTCTCTTTTTGTGCATCTTTTTTATACATATAAAGATGATAAAATAACTTTCTCATAGCAAAGGTTTTTAAAAATTTGAAATTTTACTTTGAAATTCTAATCAATTTATTCTGACCATTGTAGATTTTGTAATACATCCGGTACTTTTTATGACATTACTGTGGGAAGTCTATACTACAAAGTACAGCCGCCGACATTAGCGTGTAAAATAGCATTTCATATTAGCATGTTCAGACTTATTATGTTCCTAAAAATGTCAGTGTCTGCAAGCATTTTTTGATACGGTATAGTTTATCATTTTGATTGTGTAGCGGGTTTTGTTGTTCATTAGGTTTCGAGTTAAGTGCTTTTCCTGTACTAATTTGTATTGTGCGTTTTTATATATACCTTTGTTATTACACAGATCAAGATTAAAAGTAGGAAGGTTGAGTTACAAAAAAACAACCAAACAAGCATTCTGAGAGTATTGCATGGCAATACATAGTCCCCTACCGGTTAAGAATTCATTGTACTGGAACAAATTGCTAACTTTATCAATAACTTTGCATGGTGTAAACTATATAACAAATATCAAGTCAATATCTTCAAACATGACGAAAAAAAGTGTGGAAAACTGATTATTTGAGTGAATTTTCTAAGTCCAAGGACCATAACTCGCACAAAATTATCAGACACGGAACATAATTCGAACTTGATCTGTAACTTGTCATGATAAAAGTATATACCTATTATTAAATCAATATATGCAAGCATGACAAAAAAAAGTGCGGAAAACATTATTTGAGTGAATTTTCTAAGTCCAAGGACCATAACTCTGCACAAAATTATCAGACCGGAACATAATTCTATTCCCCATAAAAACAATTAAAAAAACTGGGAAAGTAGAAGATACGAAGAAATAAACGTAATACAATCCACATGAAAGTTAAGCGAAATTAAGCATTTTCAAGATTCTTGCATTCAGTTTATACTGCGTAAACAAGTTTAGCAACATATACTTATAATTTATATATTTAAAAAAAAAAAATACTTTTAACAATAAATAAATTATTGTTAATATGAAAATAAATCATTAGGTCGTTTTGTACTCGACAAAAATATTTATGAGAAATTAATTTCCTACACTTTGGAAATTTTGAATTTAAATATATGTTGCACATTATTACTCAGAATAAATGTGGTGTTTGCCTCCATTTCTCCTTTATCAGCTATATTGTGTGAAACCGATATAGTTAACCATCAACGGAAACGCTGTGGTAACTGTTGAGCAGAATTTATTTTATCATAATAAATAATACAATTTACATGTTAAATATATAATACATCATATAATCTGATTAATACCAACGCATTCGTTAATTTGAAACTTTTGCTCTTAATGTACAGATATAATTTGGAAAAATCATAATTTATGTAAAATTAAATCGGTTCATTAAAGCAAAACTTCTGAAAAAGCAACGAAAATCATATATTTTATCTAAAATGCTCTTTTTTTCTCAGTGCACATTTACTTCCAAGCAACTACAGTCATTCAACTTATTAATTCTTGGCCCCTAATCAGTAAAAAAATCAAAATCAAATATTGTCTATCACAGAAGACGGTATTCATTTGATTGTCTATGATTCTGGCTTCTTGTTTGATTCAGTACTTTGCTCGTCTTCAGTCGTCGTGGCGGGTTCGGCTTGCTCAGAACCAGATGCATTACCGGCTTCCGGTTTATTTTGTGATTCAGTATTCGGTGCACCTTCTGATGCAGCTGCATCTGGTGATAGTTCCTTGGGTTGTTCGGTGTTTTGTGTTGACTTTTCCTCTGGAGAGGATTCTGCTGATGGAGCAGTTTGTCCGGTTGTGAGTACATCATTTTCTGTTTTTCCTGAAGGGGGTTCAGTTTCAGTTGTGGATGGTTTCTCTGCATCTGGCGCACTATCTTCAGGTTCTGATTCTTTCGGAGCCGGTTGTTTAGATTCAGTTTCTGTTATAACATTTTCTTTTGATGCAGGTTCTGCCTGATTAATTTTTTCAGTTTGTTCTGAAGGGGGTTCAGTTTCAGGTGTGGATGGTTTCTCTGCATCTGGCGTACTATCTTCAGGTTCTGATTCTTTCGGAGCCGGTTGTTTAGATTCAGTTTCTGTTATAACATTTTCTTTTGATGCAGGTTCTGCCTGAGTAATTTTTTCCGTTTGTCCTGATGATTCGGAATCTGTATTTGCTGTTTGTCCTGATTCAGCTTCTGTTAATTCAGTTTGCTCAGGACTAGTGTATACTTTAGCATTTTGTTCTGATTCAGGCTCAGCTGAAGCTGTTTGTTCCGATATAGTGGCAGCTGTAGGCTCTTCTGTTTTCTGTTCTGCAACAACTGGTTCAGGATTTGTTTCTACCTTAGTTGACGATAAATTGTCTGCTGTAGTAGCCTGTTCTGCTACTGGATCGTTTAAACTCTCTACTTTCTGTTCTGTGGCAGTCTGATCAGCCTCTGGCTCTTCTTGTTTCGATTCAACTTGTTCGGACTCGGGTTGTGTTTCTTGTTCGGATTGGGTTTCTGGTTCTTCAGCTGCATTCTTCAGTTCAGAAGTTTGTGTTTCCGATATTTCGGATTCGGCTACTGTTTCAGGTTCTTCTGAAGCTGCTGTAGGCGGTTGCTCTTCTGATGGTTCAGATGTTTGTGATTGTTCTATTTTTTCAACCTGTTCTGTGCTTTGCTCAGTAGTTCCATCTTTCTGTTCGGTTATTATATGCTCCGGTTCAGTTGTTTTTGTTTCTGTCTGATCACTTTGTCCAGTTTCTGTGCTCGACTCTTCGGTTTTTTCAACAGCTGCCGCACTTGCTGGTGTATTCTCTGATTTTTCAGATTGTTCGGCTTCAGTCGCTCCCGAAATATTTTCTGGAGCAGTCTGTGACTGCATTGCTTCTGCTGGTGCCGATTCAGCCTCTGCTGTTTGATCAACTACAGGTTGTTCTGGTTCAGATGCAGCTGTTACACTCTGAACGATTGGTTCTTGTGCAGCGTCCTTTGATTCTGAAGTTTGCTCATTTTCGGTCTGCGGCTGGTCAGATTTTGTTTCATCTGTTGTTGTTTCCGGAGGCTGTTCTGTAACAGGTTCTGTTTTATCAGACTCTGGTTCTGCTGATGTGATTTCTTGCGTTTGTCCTATCGCCTCTTTCTCAGCTCCTGTCCTTTTTTCTTCTGCTTTTGGTGGTTCCGATGATGGTTGTTCAATCTGTGGTTCAGCTGATGTCGTGTCGTTAGGTTGTTCTGTGATTGGTGTTGTTTGTTCCTCAGCATTGTCAGGTTCAGCTTTCTTATCTTCCAAAGGCTCTAATACCTTTTGTTCATCTTCTTTCATCTCAGATCCCTGTTCGGTATCTTGCTCTGTTTGTGCGATTTGAACCGATTCCGGTTTATCGGTCTGATCAGTTGTAGCAGCTTCAACAGAAACTTGTTCTGCAGACTGTTCAGTAGTGCCAGATTCTGCTTGAGGCGCTTCTTGTGTTTGCTCTGCAGACTGTTCAGTAGCGTCAGATTCTGCTTGAAACGCTTCTTGTTTTTGCTCTGCAGACTGTGCAGTAGTACCAGATTCTGCTTGAGGCGCTTCTTGTGTTTCTACTTCAGTATCTGCTACTTCTGATTTTATGTCTTGTACAGCTTCTTCCTTCGTATCATCTTCTTTCACATGAGATTCGTCAGCAGTCAGTTCTATTTTAGGCACTTCCTCTGGTGTGCTTTCCTTCGCCGTCTTCTGTTCTGTAGACTCTGTTTCAACATCGGGAGTATCTGACCGTTGGGCTGCGTCTATTGACTTTGATACGGCTTCGGTTACAGCTGCTGGTGTATCGCGTCCAGAATCACCTTCCAAAGTTGGAATGACGGATGGTGTATTCAATACTTCTACGTCTGCCATGTCTGACTTTTCAATGGCGTCTGCCGATTTTCCACCTTCTGTTTCTACTAACTCTTTTTCTGCAACTGGAATGCTTGGCTCACTCTGGTGTTTTTTATCCAGTGCAGGTTGTTCTGTTGATTTTTTGGTTTCAGCGGCGGTGACAGCAGCTTGTTCTGTGGATTCTTTGGTTTCAGCGGCGGTGGAGGCAGCTTGTTCTTCCTGTTCCTGAGCTGCTTTCTTGGCACCTGAAAATAACAAAATAAAAAAAAAAACGCTTAAGTACTTTCGCTAATATAATCTTCTATCAACACCCTTGTTTGCTGCATCACATTTCAAGTTATATAATGCATGTTTTATACCTTCTTTTAAAAACTTCAGTTATCCCGGTCTCGTACTATTTTCTACCAAAACAAAATTAGTGTCAAAAACAGAAGTCTATGAAACAGATGTGGAAATAAACCTGACAGTAAGTCACCATTATCTCTTTACTAACAAAAGACATAATAGTATAGCATACGAGTTGAGACTGTATAATTTGTTTGGCAAGGTTAGATCGAGTGAAGATTTTCTATGTTCTTTTTTTAAACTATGATTTTGAAATATGATTATGTGAAGGTGTACATCTTATTGTGTCTGAAATACTATGCCCATGCTTCTACAAAATCATTTTTTTACAAAACTGTCAGAATATCAAGGTATCTCTGTTACTGGGAATTTTGTGAAGTTGCGTACTTTTAGTCTTTTCGGCCATCATAATAGATATTGTTCAAATGTTTATGAAAAGCCATTTCATACATGTGTTCTACATTAAAATTAACTTGAAATTTCTAAGAAACGCAGCTACCCGAGTTTATCCGATGGTAACTACTCAGTGCTAGCGAGCTAGCAATCCCGGAGGGTACTATCTGCCTAGTATAGACAATGTTTCAGAACTAACAAGATTTAAATTATATAAATTGCCTGTAAACAAATTTATAAACTGTGTACGTGTACTAAAAAATTAATTGCCACTCCCTCGGGCAAAGTTATATTTAGACGGGTATTCTTTAACACGTTAAGGACCTTTCATGCTCTCAAATATTTTATTATAAGTTCTGGTTTTCCAAGTTATTTTTCAGAAGAAGCACGTATAGTGTGGACGAACATTATATAGGTTTTGCCAGGCTATCTATCTCGAGTGTACATATTGAGTTATTCCAGAAGCTCGTGTCGTACCCACGGAACTCTGCATTATACTATTATTTACTACCAACAAGTCGTTATCCTGCTGTTGGACTTTCAGTCTATGCTGGTACTATGAGGCAGTAGCCACTAGCCAGTGTTTCGTTACTGATATAACTTAGTAGATATATTCTGTAAACTACCAGTTTATAAACACTTAGACTGAGGTTGCAACTTCCTCGTGTTATATTACCAAAGACGGTTTTGCTTAAAACCCTAGAGGGAGTGTTCTGAACTTAATTACAAAAAAACAACAAGAAGAAACGACGATTTAGATAGCCACAGAAACAAGGAAGCCTGAAAACCACGAGTTAACATTTTTATCCAACCAAATTGTCTTTGTTATTTACTATTGATAAAGTCATTACTGTCTCTTATCGTAAAACATTTGGTAACTGGTTAATAAAGAACATAAAACAGTTACTGTCATTTTTCTGGTGATTAAGGTAAAAGAGTGATTAGTTTGTTTACCCTGATAACTTTACTGATTAAAAGTTATTTTGATACCCCACTTTTATATTTTTTAAAATTTATCTGTATAACTTTAATTCCCAAAATACGTGCAAAGTATATTGGCAAACTTAAATTCATTGGTTTATCGAGAAAATGTATTAAAAGCTCGTTACAGTTTTCAAAATTAAACTTTGAATCTCTGCTGCACATCTTTGATTTTAACTTTTAAAATGAAATAATAATAATATAGTATGACAACCCTTTTTTTATAACTATTTCTATCGGCGAAAACGCTTTCTTTTAACTTTATGATCAATATTGTCCACGCGAAGAATACTGCTATTGAAAAGAGTTCCATTTTGAAGGGAGATGGTTATTTTCATCAGTTTTCCTAAAGAAAGCACTTTTTTATTGACAGCTTATTTTGTCCAAGATGAAGCGAGAACTCTCAAGAAAACCAAGGTCAAAAGCATGTCACCATCACGAATTCGGAAACAAAGTCAATTTGACTTGAATGTTTGCTTTCAAGGCATTAATCATGCATGCTACAAGTTTCATATATTAATCTATGTATTGTTGTGTACTTGAAATGTGTTAGTCTCGTAATTAAATAACTTTGTTTTATTTGATGTTTATAGATTTTAAAGTTCAATGTTTAACTTTTGTCAATACAAAGGGTTTAGGTAAACATCATATGGTAAATCAATCAATCCGTATTACATAATATACAGGTTTATTGCAGGTTTATAAAACTTTTCTTATGAAGGTAATAAATTATCTGTCTAAATATCGTATTTTTAGATACAGAGATATTTTGACGCATACACACTATTAAAGAAACATACATTATAATCAGTGGATCATCCACAGATGAATCATATCAAGGTGCAAAAACATTAGCAATTTTCTGCTACATATGTTCTCTTATCATTGTAGCATCTCGTTTCAATGATACTAGGATGTTCTTACAGGATGATGAAACAATCCAGCACATATTATATTGTTCTACGGATCGAACAATAAAAGGTTTTGAAAAATATGTATGGACTTAATAGTTGAAAGTGAGGTTAGCAATCACTGGGTAAAACATAATGCAAAAAAACACACAAAAAAACACAAAAAAAAACTCATCAAAGATACCAGGCTTTTAATTTTGTACGCCAGACGTACGTTTCGTCTAAAAAAAAACACCCCAGGAACGCTCAAATAGTAAAAGTGACAAGGCATAATAAAGTACGAAGTTGAAGAGCATCGAGGACACTAAATGCCAAAATTTTTCTTTTTCTAAATACTGCTTACGTAATTAAAATAGATGAACATTCTTATCTCCGTTTTTTTTTGTGGTGATAAGCCTCTTGTCGCAGTTGGTGAAACTTTCATTAACCTTGATGTTATTAGTTTGCAATTAATGACAACAACAACAAAACAAGAACAAAACAAAAAAAACAATAAGACATCTTTAACAAACTTGTCAACAATCTTACGTAACATTTAATGCTACAGTAAGAGTTGGAAAAGTACAAGACAATACCTGGACGACTGACACAGTGTGAGATATCACGTAAAAACCTGGCAACCAACATGTCAGTCACTTCCATAACCAGACAGTACTTTCAATGAACAGACGGATTTATTCATTAACTAGCAAATATTGCGTAACACAAATAAATCAATACAACCATTAATCTCTCATACCCTGATTTTAGGTGCATATTAGATCATTACAATCTTTATACAAAATCGTTAACTGTTCCAGTATTAGTTAACGTCCGTTAAGAGAAAGTAGTTCATTATTTTATACTTTGCAATACGTATTATATGTACTGGTTTGTGTTATAGTCATTTTTTACTTACAAAGATGACCGTCGCTGACGTTGTGAGGACATATCACCCCTCCAAAATCAAGCCAAACAACACCCCCCCTTTTCCCCCTCAATAAAAATAAATAATAAAACCACACATGCATCTATACAAAGATAAAATGCTCCGCAGGGCGCAGCTTGATACGACCACAGAGATCGAACCCCGAACAGTTGGGGCAAGTATGGACACAACATTCAAGCTTGATACAGCTTTGCATTTGGATTGTGATTAAATATTTGACACAGCATAGGTTTCTGACACAGAATGAATGTGGTCTAAGAACTTAAAAATTTTAAATTGGACATTCACCTATCATGGTCCAATATCCAAAATCTAAATACATGGTTAGATTCAGCATATCAAAGAACCCCAAGAATTCAATTTTTGATGAAATCAAACAAAGTTTAATTTTGGACCCTTTTGACCTCAATGTGGACAAAGTTGATAACGGGGCCCAAAAATCAAAAATCTAAATACATGGTTAGATTCAGCATATCAAAGAACCCCATATATTCAATTTTTTTGAAATCAAACAAAGTTTAATTTTGGACCCCGATTTGGACCAACTTGAAAACTGGGCCCATAATCAAAAATCTAAATACATGTTTAGGTTCAGCATATCAAAGAACCCTAAGAATTCAATTTTTGTTAAAATCAAACTAAGTTTAATTTTTGACCCTTTGGACCTTAATGTAGACCAATTTGAAAACGGAAACAAAATTTAAGAATCTAAATACACGGTTAGATTCGGCATATCAAAGAACCCTAATAATTCAATTTTTTATGAAATCAAACAAAGTTTAATTTTGGACCCTTTGGACCTCAATGTGGACCAATTTAAAAACGGGGCCCAAAATCCAAAAACTAAATACACGGTTAGATTCAGCATATTAAAGAACCCCAAGAATTCAAGAATAAAACCCCATTGAAATTGGTCAAGAAATAAGCAATTTATACGAAGTATCTTCTTTTGCACAATACTGTGCAATTAAATATTTCTTGCTATTGCGCAATACTGTACAATTGACAATTTCTTGCTATTGCGCAATATTGTGCTATTGGATATTTCTTGCTATTGCGCAATACTGTGCAATTGAAGATTTCTTGCTATTGCGCAATACTGTGCAATTGAAGATTTCTTGCTATTGTGCAATACTGTGCAATTGAAAATTTCTTGCTATTGCACAATACTTATTATATAATAATTTACACATCCTGTTTGGTGTGTATCTCCTACCATATCATTATTATTTGCTTTTAAATATAAATCAGAAATAACCAACTTAAAATGGAAAATTTTAAAAGAAAAAAAAAAGGAAAAAAAAAAAAATCCCCCCCCCAATTTTTTGAACCCCCTTATGATTCATCACCCCAAACTCAATCCCAGCCTTCCCTTTGTCGTATGGTACCTTGCAGTACAATTTCAGAGAGATCCATACACTTGAACACAAGTTATTGTCTGGAAACTAGAAAAATGTGTTTTTTGGCCCCTTTTTGGTCCCAAATTCCTAAACGTTTAGGGCAATTACCCCAAACTCAAACCCAGTTTTCCCTTTGTGATATGGAACCTTGTAGTACAATTTCAGAAAGATCCATACACTTACACACAAGTTATTGTCCTGAAACTAGAAAAATGCTTGTTTTTTGCCCCTTTTTGGCCCCTAATTCCTAAAATATTGAGGCAATTACCCCAATCATCAATCCCAGC